TGACAATTATAAATAACACTGTGTCCCAGAGTTTCCAAGAAACCTGACATACACAGTTCTTGGGTATATTGAAACATTTCCAAGAAAAGTAAAGAAATGAAAAATCTTCTAAAAGTCTTCAATTAAAATGTGTTTCAGAAAAATGACTTTCATTATGTGTTTTGGTACATATTACTGGAAAACATTTGTTCCCATCTTCACACCTTTAATTGTTTTCACTGTCCAATTACAGCTTTCAGGATTAGAACTATCTAGATGGGACAACCATTTTGGTCATTTGATATATAAAGACAAGTTAATGTGTATAAGGTTTGCCTACTCAGGAAAATGGATCTCCACAACAGGATTCCAATTATCAGAATCACAGGTCATACTACCACCTTTTAGAGTGATGAAAAGCACCAGACTGGATTTCTTTTTTCACCTTTTCCTTTCTCCCAGCTCCTTTCTGTCATTCTTTCTCCTTTATCTCTCTCTCTCCTTACATTTCTATACTTTCTAGGTTTAGAGAAAAAAAACACTTTAGAGCAAAAAAAAAAAGTCCTTTTGTGACTGAAATTATATTAGATCATGATGGTACAACATAAAAAAGGAACTTCATCACACATTCTCCGTTAAAAACTTCATCACACTCCATTAAGAACTCTGAAGTAAAAATTTGAATCAATTATTCATCTACCCATGTTTTGACCATGGATGAAGTTGACTGATTATAAAACTAATAAAAGGTAGATAATGTGAAAATGGCAACCCAATGTAAATAGTGATACTGCTTTTGTTGGAACTCTGGTATAGAAATGATTTCTATGGATTATAAAGACTATGGCGGCTGCCAGCTGGAAGGGAGAGAGCAGGCTATAGAGGGGCTATGGGGTTCACTGCACTGTGGAGGCCACAGAAGCTACTGCACATGTTGAGTGTGACAGTTATGTTCCAATTACATGTTCTTGTAAATGAGTAGTAAATCAGTAAAATTCTGATGGAAAACAATCTGTATGTAAAATCACAAAAATGATCTTTATGCTAAGTGGGGTCTTATTAAATTCCTATAAGTGGACCACACATAAATATGCTATGATTAACAGTCAAAATATTAATGATATAAACTGCAAATTCTACAGAGGCAGAAGCCATATTGTTCAATGCAGTGCATGTAGTATACAGTACCATCCCTAATACCTAAGGTACAGTGTTGAATTATTACTAATTAAAAGATATAAATTTGCTATCATCTCATTCCTATGTGTCATATAGAGGTAATTGTTCAGTAATACTGAAAAATGATAGCATGGTATATTGGTATAAAAATACACACACTGGGCCCTCCCTGGTGGTGCATCGGGTTAAAGCACAGCACTAAGAAGCTAAAGCCACTTCCGCATGAGTTCAATCCCTGCCCCAGGAGGTGACCACACGGTGTGGCAGACCTCCCGCTGCTCCCCTCAACAGTGTGCTTCATTGATCTGCCTGTTCTGCTCCCCACTCTGTCTCTGGTGAAACCTCTCACCACCCCTGCACCTCTGGCTGGTACCCCAGTTCTGTATGCATAAATAAACAAATCTTAAAAAAATACACACACTGATCAGTAGAATAAAACTGAGAGCCCAAAATCAAATACACAGATGTTAATATGTGACAAAGGAGGCAACAGTATATGATGGAGAAAAGTAAAGATTCAACAAATGTTGGGAAAACTAGATAGTAACATGGAGAATGAAACCAGGCTATCTCACACAAAAATTAAATCAAAATGGATCAAAGACCTGAAACTTAAATAATCTGTAATACCTGAAACCATAAAACATATATGCGAAAACATAAGCAAAGCACTGCAATACTGGTTCAGCAGTGTCTTTGGGAACTAGACTAACAGTCAGAGAAACAAAAGCAAACAGAAGCAGAACTACATCAAACTAAAAGGTTTTGCAAGTGAAAGAAATGATAAAAAATAAAAAAAGACCCAAGCTACAAGTACTTTCTTCCAATTAAAGTATAATCACACATCCAACAAGGGGTTAATATCCAAGGTTTATAGAAAACTCAAACTCAACAACATAAAAACAAAGTGCAGAAGATCTGAATAGACACATCTCCAAAAGAAATATCTAGAAGTCCAACATGCACGTAAAAAATTGTTCATCACTTATTATCAAGGAAACACAAATGAAAATCACAATGAGTTATCACCTCACACATGTGAGAAAGACCTACAACACAAAGTCACAAGTATTGGTCAGGAAGAAAGAGCCATCATATACTGCTGGTGGGACTGATACACGATTCAGCTTGCAAAAATTATAGATGAACCCCAGAACATTAAAAATAGATTAACCATGTGATCCAACAATTCCACTCCTAGCATTTATCCTAAGAATACAAAAACATTCATATGCAAGGATGTTTACAATAGCCAAATTATGGAAATGACTAAAATGTCTAAGGAGAGATGAATGGATTACAAGAAGTTATGTATCCACAATGGAATACTATGCAGCGATAAAGATGAAATCTTTACATTTTTGGCAAAATGGATAGAACTGGAGGGGATTATGCTTAATGAATTAGTCAGAGAGGAGAAAAATAACATGACTGCATTTATGTGCAAGGGAACAAAAACTGACCCTTGGAACTGAGGGTAGTAAAGGGGCAGGGGAGAGTCTAATTCACTGTGGTGGAGGATTTTTGATACTCCTACAAAAATAATACAATAAATTAATGTTTTGCTGTGTGTGTGTATGTGTGTGTGTGTGTGTATAAATGAGGCACAGCTAGTGTAACAGGAAAAAGTAATCACAGTAACACTTGCTTTAAAGAGAGTTGCAATAATTTTGATTTAATTTTCAGGTGTCAAAGACAATCTAAGAGTTGAGCTAATCCATATCCTTCTGTCAAGATTTATGTACATATCAAGTGAGTCTGTCATTATTTCAATAATGAAACTGTTTCATTTCATATTTCTCATTTAAAAACTCGTAAGACCAGTCTGTTGTTGATAATGTAATTCAACTGCATTGACAGTGCATGGTGAAGGGATATAACCTCCTTTAGAATGGAGACATCTAACTGGCCAACAGACTTTAGCTGGTATGGCTTCAAAACCACATTTTTTTTTTAATTATTTTATTTCTGCAAAAGAGAAAAGAAAATTGAAAGTAGTGGCTTCCAACAGAGCCCTGCAACTAAATGGAAGTTGCTCATCAGAAAAATAAGATACCGTTGATTGGGGAGGTGGACCAGGAAGTGAGAACAAGGTTCCCTAACAATGGACAAGTGGGGACTAAAGTGAATGCAGATGGTTCCACTCCTGTTACTTAATCAAAAGGCTGAGCAGAGTCACCAGAGCCGGCATAAAGTCATGTGTGAGAACAACAGCTGATGTGTATTAGAGGAGATTAACTCACAGTGCCATGGTGGAGGGCCCAGGATTATTTTATGTACTACCACTGCCTTACAAGCCGTCAGCACAATTATTGCCCTCCGATGTGAATGACTGATCTGTAACCACAGCTAAACAGCATGCTGCTTAGGGGCCTAGGAGTTTCATGAAGATGAATTTCCATACCATCAAAGTGCTTTTAATGGGCTCCCTGATCCAACCACAAGGCCTGTTTTGCAAGTATATAGAACTCTCGATGAAGGCTTCCTGTCCAAAAGGATTTGGTCGGTTGTCACTTGACAATTCCCAGCCAGCACAGGGGAGGAGAGGGGGGAGATAGGTAGAGTTGTGTCTGCTTTGGAGGATTAAAAAAAAAAAAAAAAAAAAAAAGGGTACAGATGCTTGCTGAATGCAACCAACTGCTGTATCCACAGCTGAATTCAATGCGCTTAACAAATAACGGCAATTTAGCTGTGCTTGCGAGGAATAGCTTGAGTCACTTTGCATTAGCATCTGGCTGAGTGTTAAACTCATTTCTACATGGGGAGCAGAGAAAAGGAATTTCTGTTCAAGCATCCTTTCAAGAATGTTTAAATATTTGAATATAAATTCCTTTATGCTTGCTATCATTCCTTAGAGCTGTCATTTTTCCTGTCCTCCTCCCTTCTGGCGTTAGCTGGAAAATGGATTGCATGCCCTCGCGGCACCTGCCTGGCTTTTCTGCTGGGGGAGCACAAGGGGCAGACACTGGTCCATGCTCTGCTGTCCCCTTCAGAGACATAGCAGCATGGAAATGATTTCTCCATTTTTTTTGGACCCATATTCAAGCTATGGGAAGAGGTACAGTTGTGACATTTCACCTTCTCTGTGCACATCACTAACTTCTTAGAGATTACACATAAAATTCCATATGAAACCCGAGAAACCAGAAAGCTAGCCAAATTCGCAATCTGCTCATTCTGGACAATATTGTTGGACTCATAAGCTTCCTATGATAATTAACTTTCAAGTTATTGCTAAGTAGCTGATCATTTCTTCTCCTATCAGCTGTATCTATTTAGTTCTACGATTATGAAAAGGGGATTATTCAGTAACACTTTACAATTTCATATTTTAACATATAATTTCATATAATAACATATTTCAAATATTACCAAAAGAAGCACATCACTCTTAGCACTATATAACAAATTGCAGTCTTTTCACAAGTAAAATACAATCTAGTTTAGACAAAAGTTTGCAATTACTATGTCTCAGATGCAGTCATCAGTTTTACTGCCTACTCAGGCCGGTACTTGGGAGGTGCACAGGTAACATCCAAGCTTACACAGATTAAAATCATTCCACACCTTCAAATCCAGCTCATCCCCAAAGACAAGTTAAGCATCCCAGTATAACAACACTTCTACTGGACTCAGATACTTCAAATACTATTTCATATTAACGCAAATTGATGGCAGAAGAAGGGATATTCACTGTACATAAAGTTTGGAGATAAGAGAACTGGTTTTGCTGAGGATGGGCAAAGAGAGAAAAGAAATAGGGAAAATCATTATTCTGAGGACTGTGAGGGGATAATGAAGGAAAAAAGCAAGTCGCAAATTTAAACAGTTTATGAACTCACCTTTTCTGTCCTGCAGTTATTGAGGCCTAGACTGTTCACAACGGCCACCTTCCCATCCAGCACCTGCTGCTCCCGCCGAAGCTGCTCCTTCATCTGCCGGGCTTCTTGAATCGCCTTGGTGACAGCATCATGGTCATTTAAATAACCTGAAGATGTGGCAGAACAAAGAGTACGTTTAGTACAAATGCAGACAAGTTAACCTTTCTCCATAAAAATCACTTTTTTTGATTTATAGCGAATATCTGGCATACTATAAATTCCTAAGTGGAATTTGTCTAAAATGAAAGAACGAATGAATAATTGATGACTGAATACATGACAATGGTGCCAAATATCCCTTATAGAAATATGTTTTAGTAAAATATGGCAGTTTTTACCTATTTGGGACGAAGTGTAAAATATAATTTTTCTATAAACTCTTAAGTGCATGAATATTTTGCAGTGCCAAACAAAACCTCTGTGGATTTTTTTTTTTTCATACGAGGATCATTTGAATGTTACCAAGGGCTACAGGTATTGATAATCATCACTGTACCTACTGACTCTTTCATAACAGTATTAGAAAGATCAGTTTCAAATTAGTGAATAGCATAGTTAGGCTTGTTGCGCACAGAAAGAATAAATCATTATTATCTGATTGTAAGAAGAGCATTTCCCCCAATCCATTGTATGGTGAAACAAAACACAGGTGGCACTGGTTTGCTGTGGATACAAACTTCAGTAGCTACACTTCAAGTGCAGAATGTAGCCCAACACCTATAACTGTTTGATAAGAAACCATGGCTACTGATTGCTCAGCCAGACTTAGTTCACGCCCTTCATAAGGTCATCAAATGTCCACCTTGTGTCTGCAAGGTCACAATCCAGAATGTAGAGCACAGACATACTGCCAAAGTATTTCTTTTAAAGAATGTCAGGTGTAGAGAACAAAACTAATTTTCAACTTGATTTTAAGAATGGTCATTTAGTTACTTGATGCATGTTAACCCTGATAACCTGCATGATTTCAGGGTGCAACAGCGAAGGGAAACAATTGTTTCGTAAATATTGAGAAGAAAGCTAATATCTCATCTTTCACTCTTACTATCTTTTTAACTAGGGCATAAAATGGCATAAACTGAATCTATAATATGAAATTGCCCAGAAAAGGGACTTGTTTGTGACATGAGGCTAAATCTAACCAGATCCATTGGTGAATTGTGACAGATGGAGGGACTGTGAGACAGAAGGCAGGCACTAATCACACATAAAATGACCGGCTTGCCTCAACATGTTCCATGGATTCCAGCAAACTTTACACCCTAATCCATTTTTAGAACAAAAAACATCTGGACCATAAATCCTCTAATCTGCCAAAACACGCTATTAAATCCCATGATTTGTTGAAAAACACTAAGATTAAAGAAAGGAAATATAAAATGGCTAACTGCCGTGTTAGGAAAGTGTTATTAATACTCTTTCTTTGTCTCAATTATGAATGTTCTGGTACTAAAGAGCCTTGTCTAATCATGTCAGATTACACATCCTCGTTGTATTGCTAGACTTGTATCTGATCTGTTGATTGCCAAAAAACACAGAATACTTTCTTGCTGCTGGAACATTTCTACTGAAGAAGCTGACGTCAGGTTAGTGCAGTGCTTCAGTGCTGGGGGTGCTGGAGTGCCTCCCTCACCATGCACATGCTGGCCCCTGTCCTTCGAGCTCCTCCAGGCAGGAAGCTCAGCTCCGATGCCGACGACAGAGAGAGAGCCTGCAGAGCGCCTCTACACTTTTCCTTTCTGAACTAAATTCACTGGGACTAACTCAGAGAACAAAATATTCCTGCTCACTGTAAATACCATCTGAGTCAGAAACAAGTTGTTAGACCTAGGTCAGACCTTTAGGCTTACTATTAATTACAAAAGATTGTTGTTTTTCAGTTTATATCCTTACATTCTCCTAAACAACCTTCTTCATGTATTACTCTTGAATTTATTCTTTTCCTGAAGATTAACATTCCGAAAGAAATACAGCTCCTGTATATGGCAGTGCCTGTCTCAGAGCATGTTCACTGAGCAAGATGTGAAGACAGTGTGGTAGGCATCTCTAGCCTGTGGCTATCTATGGCCTGGAATCCAGCATTTCTGGAGACCAGTGAGCTCCCCCCGAACAAAAATACATTTGCAATGGTTTGGCACGTAGCCTTGAATCAAAGTATGAATTCTTTACACTTTGGAGGCACTGCGACGATGCTGTCATTTAGAAGATAAATACAGATGCAAAAGGGGAGCAGATTATCATGGGGAGAGTAACTGACAGACTGACGGGGAGTCACGGAAATTTCCAGTGTGAGGAAGTGTGAGCTCCTGTGCAGGTGGAGATCAGAGTTCACTTTAAAAATCAACATCAGCACTTTTAGGGACCTCGACTTTTAGTTAAAATGTTTACATACATATGAAGCTCTAACATTTTATCTGTTGTGTTAATCATGAAAATATACTAACATATCAGAGAACCGACAAAAGCACTGTTAGTTCTTGACATTTTGTTTTTAGTCACAGTTATGAACCCCCAGCCTCACTGACTCTCTGGCTCATGGTTAGCCTGAAGACGTTGGAAGGACCAGCTTAGCTCAAACTCACCTTCCTCCCAGGGTCCCTGCCAGCTTCTATTATATCTCCTATAGGCCTGCTTCCCCCTTCTGATTCAGTGAAAGCGGCACCCCTTCTTTCATTCAAAGCAATCCCCAAAATTTATGTTCTAAATTTCTATACTTCCCCACTGATTATTCTCTTTCACACTTATCTATTTACCTGATCTCTGGAACCTGAACGTGTAGTACTTAGGGCTCCCCTCAACAAGGACATAACATCTCCCCCGCCTTTTTTTTTTTAAAGATTTATTTATGCATACAGAACTGGGGTAAAGGCCAGAGGTGTGGGGGCTGAGAGGATTCACCAGAGACAGAGTGGGAAGCAGAACAGGCCGATCGACGAAGTACACTGCTGAGGGGAGCAGTAGGCGGGTCAGGAGAGGTCTGCCACGCCATGTGGTCACTTCTGGGGCAGGGGATCGAACTCTTGCGGAAGTGGCTTTAGCTTCTTAGTGCTGTGCTTTAACCCGCTGCACCACTAGGGAGGGCCCAAAGTTTCTCTCTTAACATATGGGTTATCCTCTCTGTCCACCTACTCTGTCTCTCTTTGCCTTTGAATGAGGCTTCTGGATGATTCCTACAATACTCTTCCAGTCTTTCTTCATGCAACTACCCACACTATGGTCCGGCTTCTGCTTTCCTTGTGCCTTCAGTTGCTAAATCCAAGGCTACTGTCCATACTTTGTAGAATACTAGCACTGCTGATTCCTCTTAACAGAACCTCCTAGTTTCTCTTCATGGCACTTAGTTCCCTGTCTTCTGTTCCCCATCTTCATATCCCTGCCTGGATCCTTTCTTCACAGGCTCTTTAGATTTTTATCTAAGGCTTTCACACTCAGAAAAAGCATGCATCTTTGAGGTGGACAAGTCTAAATTAAAATCCTAGCTGTGCTACTACTTGCTATGTAATGTGTGTGTGTATTTTTTTTTCTCTAAGTCTCAGTGATCTTATTAGTTCAAGGGGGATTAACACTCACCGAGGTAACCACAGATGATGTGAAAATGAAATGGTGATGTAGCATTTCACATGTTTATTTTAAAAGTTATTCACTGTCAGTATACAAAGTAGAGTAGTGAAATAAGTAGAATTTGAGCATCGAATTAAAATGTACCTGGGTTTCTATTTCCTGGGAAATGCGGTAATTGCCACATCATAACATATTCTTACTGGCTCTCATTTGCCTCAACTGTAAAATGAGTATAAGGTTGATGGAAGCATTTCATGAAATAACATATGTGGGGTCTTCTTGGTGGTGCCAGGGATTAAGTCTCAACACTATGAAGCTATCAGCAGCCACTGAAGCACAAGTTCAATCCCTGGCCAGGGAGCAGACACACATGGCACGGCGGACCTGTCCATCTCACACACAGCTCCCCTCAGCAGTTTATTTCAGTCAACTCGCCTGTTCTGCTCCCCACTGTTTCTGATGAATCCACTCAAACCACCCCCCACCCCACACACATCTGGCCTATACCCCAGTTCTTGTATGTATACATAAATACACTTAAAAATAAATAAATAATGTGAAAGAATAGGGAACTCTTAATACTTGCAGAGACACGAAAAACAATTCCATTCTTTTTCATCCTGTGCATTTTCCCGAGACACTTGCATTCAGCAAGTATGTTGTAGGCTTTGGCCATCAAAATCTGCCAGGGGGGTCATTTCTTGTTGGTACAGACATTTTGTGAAAGTCACCTCAACAGAGTCAAAAAATAAAAGACCCCAAATGATCATCTCATATATTTCATTCTGCCTTTATTATGTACTCTGACAGCAAATGCAACTAAAAACAGGATCAGAATGGAAGACACGTGGTAAGGAGAAGTTTGTTGGGCCTAACTCTTAGAAAGCTGAGGGTAAAGGCCAAAATGGCTACCACTTTGCACCTCAGATGGGGCTGGGGAAAGACAGGTTAGGAGTTGTTAAAGTAAGAAATCTGTGAGTTCCCTAACTTTGTGAAATTGATCATAATTAGATTTTTTTTTTTTACATCTGGGTGTTTCTTCCTACCCAATACCAACAAAATTGTCAAAATTTAAAAAGGCTCCTTTTAGTCATTTATAGGGACAGGGAAAAAAGGTACCCCCCCAAATAAAAGGGAGGGGGGCAACTGAAAAGTCCAATTTTGCAAGGAATACTATCTAAACAGAAAGAAAAGCAACTGTCCCACAAGAAAAGAAACTGTTGACAGGAATAGGAGAGACAAGAAACTACTTGTAAGAGGCTGAATCATGTCCTAACCCCAGCTAACTGTGACTGTGTTTGGAAATAGTCTTTGAGGACGTGGTTCAGTCAGGGACTTTGCTATGAAATCACACTGGATGTGAGGAGGACCTTCAACACAAGGACTGGTGTTCTTCCAACAGACTGGAGAGCTCTGAGACACAGAGACTCAGGGAGAAGGCAGTTGCAAATATGGAGGCAGACCTGGGTTTACATGTGCAGAGCGAGGCAACAGCATGGAACAGATTTTTCCTCAGAGCCTCCAGAGGAACTAATCCTGATGGGCA